TGTAAGCTCCATGCATTTATTTATTTTGTTATTCCTTTCAGGCCAGACCACTGCCACCAAACAGGATCATTGTGTCAGCTCGGTTTCTGAAACCCATAGGAGAGCCATGTACAATATTGTAAGTTGATCCCTATTGTACACTAACTGTGATGAACTGTTGGTAAAAGAAGAAGCCAGTGCAGAGGACAGGAGTTAAATACAGAAGTTTGTTATGGTAAACCAAAGAAACAAGTATTGCTGCTTAACAGCTACATTTTAAATGCAAACACAAAAATCTGGCTCTGAACAAAGGAAAATCTAAATGACTAAATGACTAAATGACTAAATGAAGGACAGGTGCGCTGATAAATACTGTAATAGTGGTCATGTAATCTGTAGCAAACCAAAGAACTGACTCTACAAAATAAAACATGTGAGGTAAGTATACAGAACAGAAATAGGTGACTTAAAAGGAGCCAAAAATATCCAAAATAACCTAAGATTAATTAAAAAACTTGCTGTACACATTGTTTTACCACATTTTCAATCCACTGATTTTGCTGTTTTGATCTTGTAGAAAATAATATCTGACACCACATATGTATTTTTGGACAGTGTGGTAGCGAACGGCGATACTTTTAACCCAGCAGTAAGACTTCTGATCCACCAAAGGATAATGGGACAGTTCGACAAAATACTAGAAATGATCACAGAGAAGATGGGTTTGAGGGTCCTGGGAGGCGTTCGAAGGTAAACCAGCAAAGACTACATAGCTAAACTCTATCTGTAACCATAAATACATTTTTTTCCTTTTACTGCATTGATAACATTTTGATTTAATTTGTTTTAAAATGTCAGGTTTGCCAACAACTGCTTACATTTTTTATTATTGGGAATGAAGTACATCAGGGCTTTTCAACTAAATTGCCCAGGGAGCCACAAGGGGGCAGTGTTGCCCAATAATGTAAGGGGAGACACTGCAATTATGTAAAATAACAAGTATTTCTATCTTTTGCCTTGCAAATTTGTTTATTTTTTATTTATTATTATTATTATTATTATTTTCATAAGCATTGATTTAAAATATGTTTTTATATTCAGCTAAGTAAAAAAAAAATAGGAGTTGGAGTTGGAGCTTTATTGGTGGGCCAGACAGAAGTCATCCACTGTCCAGTGACTTCTGTCTGGCCCACGGACCGCCAGTTGAATAGCCCTGAAATACATGTTCTTATTCTGGCAGTATCTGTATAGTAAATATTTGAAAAAAAATATTGACAATGGTTATGAATTATCAAACAGAGCCAGCTTTTGTTGGTAAACTGGTGCAAAGAAACGGTGAAAGAGGGTTTTGACTTTATTTTCGTGCTTTAGTCTGTACACCTATGAAGGACACCAGGTGACTGATGGGAACAAGCTGGAGTGTGGGCAGCTTTATGTGGCAGTGGGAAGAGAGAGATTCAAGAAGCTTACGTACAGCGACATTCTTTTCACCAGACCCAAAGGAGCAAGGATGATCAAAGGGTAAACAGCTTCAGTATAGTTACAGAAACACCAAGTGGAAAAGTGCAAACTTTAACTTTATCAGTCACACTTCTTCAGGTTTGTTTGCTTTGTTTTGTTTTGTTCTCCATGCAAATACTAGTTGGAGAATGATTTATCATTTATTCTCTAAAATGAAATTCTGCATAATTGGAGTACATTAATTACTATGAAATTACTTTTAATACAATTTGTTTGGCTGGTTTTGAGAAATGCATCAGATAAAATTTAACATTAATTTAAGATTCTGTTGTAAGTAAAGTGCTCTGTTAGTGTTCATGACATTATATGAATAGCAGTATTTATTTTGTAAATAGGTTGTAATGCAAAAGCAACAAACTAAATTTTGATTTTCAATCTAAAATGTTGTCATATTGTTTAAACTGAGTTCTGAGGGTCAAAATGTTAATGAGTTTGTGAGCAAAACTGATAGTCTTTCAATATTTCATTTAGATCTTTGCCCAATGTTTGTGTCATTATTTTTGATATTTGTTTTATGTAGAAAAAATAATTCATTCTACTTCTTTGAGTTTTTGAGGATAGAGTGTATATGTTTATGTTAATGATTTATGCTTATGATGTCAGATATTCACACACATATAATAAATACTTTATGTTGTTTTGTTTTTTCTGTTTATTTCATTTTATACAGAATGAAGGCCTACTCTTTACCGCCCATCTACAGATTCTCCAAACAAAGCCGAAGCGTAAGATTTCAAAGCACTTTTTGTGTCAGTATAGTTTATGCTTTTATGGCCTCAAGACAATTTTCAACACAATATTAACTTTGCAAGTCATGAAAATAAATAAATTATAGATTTTTAGTTTATTTTTAATGAAGAATACTTAGCAATAAACAACTACATAAAATGCAGTCTTTAGATTTATATTTAAAACAACAAAACATACATCTATAATCTAGATGTATGTTTTATCATAATCTAGATTCTAGATTATGATATTTAGATAAACAGACATAACCTGAACAGAACACAATGTGGCCTTAAATCTGCATTACTGTACTACAAATATATTTGTCTCTGTTTTTGAGTTGGTCAAAGTTTCTTAAATATTCTGACTCCCACTTGCTGCAGAGCAAGTCTCCGGTTCGGTCCAGTGACAGTGGAGATGGCGAGTCCAAGGACTCTCCTCCAAACCACAGCGGCAGCAGCAGCAGCAAGGAACATCTGCCTGCCGCTGTAAGGGAGATCTCTCAGGCCAGACTGCACTCCGTCAGGACGAGGAGGAGCGGACAGAACATCACTGCTGCCACACCAGACAACGGTAACACACACACACAAACACTCACAAAGTGGCGGACGATGATGTAATGGGTGCGGTTTTAGAACACCATCAAATTCAGTCTTAAGGTTTAGGACTCGAGAAATTATTAAACATTAACTCAGCATTAAATTGGTGTAAGTTCTGCTTCAAGATAGGTATAAGTTTATTATATTTCTGTAAATAAATAAAGCTTGAAAAATTGTATCATTAAATGTATATATTTAGATAAACATTAGTTGAAGTATAACCAACAAAACATGTAGTAAAGCCTTTTTGTTGTGCTCTGTTATAAACAGGCTACACTATTGTTTTACACATAGTATGATGTAATGCCCAGTTTGTAAAATCTTATGTAAGCTGCTACATGCTTTTATGCCCACATAGTGGCACTGTTGCTCTGTGAACCTCCAAACTAGAACTACTTAAAGTTGGTTTGGCATCATGACTTTGGCCATCATTACCAGAAACACATTACATCATCCTCTGGATGTATGATCCCTGTCATGTAAAAAAATAAAAAAAATAAAAAATAAAAACCTCTGCATTAGACTTTACGTTTGAGCTCACTGGAGACATTCATTCTTCTGAGATTTAAGAGGTTTAGTTGCGCCACAAAAGGTGTTTTCCTTAAATGTGCTAAAAGATTGAAATTAGACAAAGACAAGCAAAAAAGTAGATCTTATTGTTTTTGATGCTGAGATATCCTGTCCTGACTGTGGGTTTTACATCACCCTTTAGTACCTGATAAATGTTATTACTTAGCTCTTTAGGGGAGAGCTGACAGTAGCAGCTCAAAGATGTGTTGAGAATTTGTGCCTGTGATTCAGTGAAGCTGGCATTTTGCATCAAAAGACATGACTCAAGATCATTTGTGTTCACTGTGAGCACTCGCCTCCTCTTTCCATGTGAGCGTTTCTGTGTTTTTGTTGTTTTATTTTGTCCTGTAATGCCATCCTCAAAATCCTATGAATTATATTGTTTAGTTTGTGCGTTTCTTCTTCATCCTTCTTTTTGGTCACATTGGATGACATTGAGCAAAAATTGAATTAACAGACATGTTGGAGAAAAAGACCAAGAACAGACTTTTTGGACTTAGGAGTGTTTTACTTCCTCCTATACTCCTGCTGCTTGACCTCTTAAATACCATCCAAAAGGGATCACATTAACAGAATACAATAACTTATTTATTTGTTTAGTTTTATAGAATAAACTCATTTATATACTGTATTGCCTCATGACTGTCTATCTGTCTCTGTCCATGGTGCTGAATTACCTTTTTTTACTCACTTCCGCAAATAAAATTGCAGTTCTTTAAAGTTTTTATGCATTTACAGAACCAAAGTCACCATACAAATAAAAGGGATACTTAGATTTTCTGATGTCAGATTTTGAGGCAACGTTATAATCAAACATCATCTTACCTGTTGTAGACAGCACTTAAAAGGACCTCAGTTTCAAGTTTTCAGTTTCTCTATTTTCTAAGACAATTTGTAAATAAAATCCACCCCATGATAGATGCAAACCACTCTATTAAGCTGATTAAAGAGATAGCATCAAAACAAGTTGCTTTTAGACAGACCTCAAAGAGGGGCTTGTGGAGTTACAATACGGAGGAAATCAAACCAAATGATTGCAGTTCCACTTTATATGGACCCCAACTGAATGATTTAAATGTTAAAAAAGGATGTTAAAGCATCATATGTCTATATTAAGAGTCTAATGATTTAAAAAAACGAACCCAGGTGGCATCGGGAAGGATGTGGCAAATGAAAAAAAATCTATTCAATTCAATTAAATTCAATTCAGTTCATTTATATAGCGTCAAGTCACAACATACGTTGTTTCAGGGCACTGCACATGAAAAAAAGACTATAGCATTTTTCTTACACAGTGATGTTTTTATTATACAGTATATATACTTTTGAGATGACAGATCTTCACAGGTTCTACTGTGTTCTTACAATTTAAGCACATTCTGTTTTATGCTTTCAATGGTAATTTATTCATTTGAAATTCACTTAAAACAGCTGCAATTTCATAGAGAGTGATGCAAATACAGTTTATTAAGTCTTACACTATAATCTAATTCACATAAGAAAGGTATTCCAGCAGAAATACTTCAACATTTCTGGGTGCACCGAATGTGCTACAACTGGCTGTTGCAATTTCAGCTTGCAAACCATCAAACTCAAAGTATGTGTTGTCCGAAATGGATGGTGGTGTAAATGTTTATAAAACAGTGTTTTCATGAACCTCTATAATATTTTCTGAGGCAACATTTTTTCTAGGTAACATAAACCTATTCTGTTTGTGTTTATGTTGATATTCAGTTCCTCAAATCAGTTTGTATTGCCCTTCACAACAGCGGTTGTAATGAATTTGGTGTTCATTTCTTTTTGAGATATCCTATCCTGACAGGGTTTGAGGTAAACATCAGTACTGGTGCCAAAAGAAATGCAGCTAAACAGCTGGCAGAGTCTGTGAAAAGAACACTCTTCTGATCTCTGATGCGCTGGAACATTAGAACAAATGTAAAATATAGTGATATGCAGGTGTCACGTTATACGTCATCTGCTCTTGAAAGACAATGAGGTAAAGACTGAAAAGCATTGGGATCAGAACGTGCATGATATCGATACCAGAGGCGATGAGGCAGACAAGGTGGTCAGTTTGTGTGTCTGTATGCACACACCCATTAGTTACTGTCTATCAGATGCTGGTAGCCAGACAGAATTGAACTCCAGCTGTTGCTGCCACATGTATTGTAAAGCTTATACTGCTTCTGCTTCATTAGAGTGAACACACTGGTGAGTGACAGCGAGAACAAGGAAGGAGGAGGTATGACAACTCAAGCAGTAAAGGTCAAGGAATGAATTTGAACTCACTATAACAAAGACATCTGGCTTAAAAAAAAGACTTAAAGAGATTGTTTGAATCTTTTGAAGTAGGGTTCAGTGGAAAGGTTATGAACAAACTACAGCTATCTACTGCTGTAGATAGCTCTTTGTACATTTTCAGTTTGGAGCAATAGATTATGACCAGATGGTTGGTCTGAGCAAGACCACTTCAACACCAATCCCAGTCTCGGCACTTCATTCAAACTTTATTTTATGAGCCTTTACATGTCTTTCATCTAAGCATCACATGTTGATTCCAGCAGGAATTATGTAGATGTTTATGCAGATGTTCCTGCATGAAATGACCCTTGATAGACCAGAAGTACAGTATTACTAGAGATGGCCGCTGATGCTGTTGGTATTTGTTGCTGCAAATGATTGTACAATTCTGTGTAAATCTCTGTTCAATATGAAATGAATGAACCTCAAAGCATGTGTAACAATACAGTGGGGCGCGAAAGTTTGGGCATCCTTGTTAATTTTCCTGTTTTACCTTTATAAATCATTGATTGTTTGGATATATATATATACATACATATCAGACCAAAAGGACATTTTAGGCTGTGATCTCAGTCCTCCCCTCTCTCACCTCCTCTATTCTTGTAGCAGAGGTAAGGGAATCTCCACACGTTTGCCAGGTCCACGGCAAATATATAGTATATATAAATATATTTATATTTATATATTTATACCGTATGCATTGCAGAAATCAAGTGTTTTATGTCTAGTAACTTTCAGCAAAAACAGAGGTTCTGTTGTTCGGGTTTAGTGAGAGTTTTTAATCTCATGTTGATCTGGCCTTACTATACAGTATGACACCTGTTGCAACAAATCTAGGTGTAAGACTGGATTGCAGCCTTGCATGTAAATGTGATACCCAGGTTGGCTCTGTTTTATCTGAGACAACTAGCCAAAGAAAAACATTTAGTTTCTTTGCATCACCTTGAAATGCTAATTCTCACTTGCAGGGATGGGTATCGTTAAGGTCTTATCGATACTACTACTCTTATCAGTACTGGATATTGATCCAGTAGTTTAACAGTCCTCTTTTTAATACTTTTCTATTGGTATAAAACCAGTTTGTACCAATATGAACCATATTTTCACATATATATTTTTCTTTCCACCAAGTTTTTCAACTGCAGTAATAGCTCTCGTTGTGATCTGGCGTTATTTAAAATTAAAATGAATAAATTCTGTTAAAAAACAAAGATAAATTATTATTTAATTGGCTCTGACTGCACAGCAACTTCAGAATCAACATGCTAACAAGTAGCATCCATAGGCTACTTCTGTAAACACTGCGCTGAATGAATGAGACGTCACATCTTTTTCCACGTATGCAGTAAGCATCAATGCTGGAAGCCTGTGTCGCTCGCAGCCCCTCCCCTTTCTCCTGAGTTTGACAGCACACACGGGAAGCGGGCTGCGAGAGGGGAGAAAGTAAAACAGTGCTCCTTTGTTGTAAACAATGCAGCATGTGCCGTGTTCACACCTGTCATGTCACAATTCCTCAACCGTTATTATTGCAGCAACACAAAATATTGCTAACAAAACTGATTAAAATCAATTCCAAATCTTCCATATTTGCAATGTGGCATTTTTTTAAAAAATGTACAACTCCAACCCAAACTATCTACAAGTAAGATAATTATTGCTCATACCCTTCCACAGACCGCCACTTTAGGAGATATAAACCATAATTTTAACCAACAAGTTGGTCTCTCGCTTGTTGTAGAAGCCCCTTCATGGTAAATAAATTATTGGCCCAATTTAGCTGGCGTTTGCATTTTTGTTTGGCAAAACACATTCATATTCACTTTGGAACAAGGCAATTAGCAGTGGTTTCTAACCTCAAAATAGAAGTAGGATGTTTATCAGTGTTCTCTTCCTTAAGGGCCCCTGTGACCAATTCAGCTATTGGCTCCCTTGAGGAAAGAAGAGCTAAGAGGGAAAAAAATATAATGAACGAGAAAGGAGAAGAGAAAAAAGATGCACCCAAAGAGGTGAAGAGAGGAAGATAAAAGTGAGGGTGAAAGATGAGCAGAGAGGTGATGGAGGCAGGAGAACATTAAGAGGAAGGAGAAGGGTACAAAAAGAAAC